CAAGAAGCCTCCTAGCCATTTCTTCAAGGATCCCAGGAAGCTGACCTTAACAATAAATGTACTGCATAGTCTTTGATATGTCCATTTATTGTACACTGTGAATTTTCAGAAAGGGCTTAGCCCATGTAATGAGACTGCTGGTCAAATTAACCTTTTTTTTAACCTTTTTTGATTAAAAAGACAGCCATGGGGATGATGTACTGTGTCTTTATTTTTTTTTTAAAGAGTCAATGCAACCAGAAAAGCTTACAGTTCTTTAAGCAAATCCCAACTCACGTCGGCAACCTGAGCGTCCTGAAACAAGCTCGTTAGCCCTGCAGGCTGGGAACGTTAGAGGCCAAGAGGAAATCGGATAAAAAAAAAACACGATATTGATGTCTCTGTACGCAGTGTTTACATCGTGCTCTCTTTGGGCAGTAATTCAATATACATAGAGAAAAGATTGATCATTGTGAAAGCTGCTTCCTGTTTGCATGCCCACCATCAATACTGACAGTGATCAGCGTCTTCAGATCCCCTGCAACTGCAACTTTCACCCAAACTACACAGGTGTGCCAAGGGACTGCACCGGCCTACACCACAAGCAAGGAGTCGTTCCCGAGAACTGTCACACTGTAGCAGTAACGAGCGAGATCTGGCCTGGAGTTAGAGTACCTTAGTACCTGCTTTACTATCAGGTACAGATGTAGGATGGTAGAGACTCTTGCATTTATTTTCCTTGTGATTTTAAATGTTGTTTACAGTAACATTCCCATCCCCTACACCCACTATTTGTTAATAATCCTGATATAATGATGATGAGGTATCCACTAGCACCTGTATTCTTACCAGTTTTGTTGGTAGATTTTATTTCTTATTAGCAGATTACCATGGAGTACAGTATCTTTCTTTAAACACACAGATGCTCAAAAGACACATTTAGGTTAAATTTGACTTTGGTGGTCTTAGATATTCAACCCCCTTAAAACAACACAGGAAGTAGCTTGTAAAATCAAAATCTCTTAGCAACGGCTGTGTCAGCAGATATTATGGAGCTCTCAGCACTGTGAAAAGGGAGATGGATGAAGAGAGAGATTTCTCCTGTCCGGCCCCAGTTCTAATACAGGCTGACGGTCTGATAAGTCCAGTTCTTTCTCAGATGGAAACAAAGACAGGCAACTGCCTGTGGCCGCCGGATCACGACTTGGGGAGCCAGACTGAGGGACACTGCTTGCAGGGGCAGCTGCCCACACACAACAGCACAGGGCGATTCCTCTGATATAGGTGATGCTGCGTCGGGCGGTATGAATCTCAGTGCACACCACAAAGGAAAAACAAAAGGATTCTCAAAAGGTGGATGGTAATGATTCTGAGGAGATGGTAGGTGCCCTGGAGAGACTGAAGAGTACTGGCCGAAAGTGCAATCGGCAGTGGTACTACGATAATCCTCAACAAGACAACTGATATCTGAAGCCTAACTAAATTTAAAATCAAACCCTAGAAGCCTTAATAAAAGAGTGCAGAGGTTTAACTGTATTGTACAACTGTACTTTAGCACTGTAAAATAACATTTTTCCATACTGGGAAATAATTGCTCTAATAAGTACTCTGCGTAAATAAGCTTATTCCCCTTATGACCCTAAAGATAAAAGCTATTGCGTTAGAAGCAAGGCTGGAAGATTGCAGAGGAACTGTGAAATTCAAGCACAGAGGACAGGAGTGCATACCTAACAGCAGAGCTGCGGTACAATCCACTGGCCAGGCCTGAGACTCACAGGACAGGCCTGTACATTGACGTAACAGTGTGGACCTTTAAATCAGTTTCTCCGAACACCTAAGCAATGCCGACGGAAAACTGCTCAGACTTGGCACAAACACCTTCTACTGCGTCCGGATGGAGACCACGCACAGGCGTGCCATCCAGGCGGTGCTCATGCGGCGTGCTGCACAGATCACACCCACTGCTCTCCCACACACCAACAGCTCACCCCGGAGTCTTCCCTCTGATTGACCGTTTATGGACTTCGCCAGGCACTTGAGAGCCTGTCGCTCTTTTTCCTCTTTCGAACACGATACAGTATTTAGAGCTCCATGGCAACCTGACACTATTCTGCTGAGTGAATTACACAAGATCACACTAAGACCACATGATCACATGCCTCCCATCCACAAGGCCCTGTGTTGAACTGTTTTAGTTACTGTTTTAGTTTGGATTGCAAATAGCTCAATGTCTCACTGATACCCTGTTCAAGCCAGTAAACATTTTCATATTTCACATGTTAGCCGTCGTGCATGACTCAGACTGGCATTTATTGAGAAGTGAAAGAAGGGTGCCACTTCTTGCAAGTTCTCATGATAACAAAAATCCAACCACAAAACATAAAATATTACTCCATCACGGCTTTCCAGGCCCGTATCTCTCCCGGCAGAGCTCTGCAAACAGGCCGCAGGCAGTCTGCATCTGTCATAGTTTCCATCCCCCTCTCCTCTCCTCCCATCTCGCAATCCGAGAGGAAACAAGCTTCTAAATTGAATTATCACAAACAAATCAATCGAGAATCAAAGCTCAGTGAAATTCTAATTGCCTCGCCGATCTGTAAAGCTTTAGGAGGCAATGATTCAGAGGGGCATCACAGCGCACGCTTGCAGGGGGAGAGGCACCAGGCTAATTATAGTGGGGGACAAGACGAGCTGTCCATGCTTCATTCTGATTGAAGGGAAAGCACACAATTGTGGTCCTGTCCATTTCACATGCAGCTGCTCTGTCATAATTTGGGTGCTTTCAGTATTAAAAAAAATGAAATTACAGGGTAGTGTGAAAGCCTGGAAGCTGGTATTACCTCAAAATATGAGCCAGCACTGCAAAGCTGCAACAACTGAAAGCAGCAAAAACACAATTCAAAATGCAAAGAAGCTGCTGCCCTAGACTACTGCCATCAAGACATTTCACTGGTGACTGTAAGCTTTAAAAATTCTACCCTCTACACTCTTCTTAACTAAGACAGTAGGGTGCAACAGTTTAACTAAAAGAGTACGATACGAAACAAAGATACGATATGCCAGATATCAATTTGTCCAAGAGCATTCAGGGTGTTCTTGTGCCGTGGGAAGTCAGACACAAAGTAATTGAAGCACGTGATAATGTCCTGGAAAACCGGGAAGTATCGCCAGAAAGACACCTTTTGTTTTCAATACACATATTCTCAAAAGGCTCCGTACATACGTGAGGATTTAGACTATAAGATAATTGGATGAAAAAACAATAAGGTGGTAATGAGATATTCTTCCATCACCAAGCAATTATTTCTCTCATACATGACATATCTGCATTCCGATATCAAATTAGACTGTTAATTGACTGCACAAGCAAATGACTCCCCCAGCCTCTCGCTATGCAGGCGAGAGCCCAGGAGAAATGTGGACCATTGGAATGGAGACGTCTGACGAATGTTAACGCCTGACTAACGTTTTTATACCATTTTCACTCTAGATGCACTCATCATCCGTCTTATTTGTCCCTGCTCTCCCGGTGTCAGCGTCTGATGGGGGGGGGGGGGGGGGGGGCAGGCGGGCGAGGCGTTTGGGGAGCAGGCGGAGGATCCCCACCGAGAATAACCTGAACACTCAGCACCCCTGCCGAAGACACAAGTACCCCCAGCCGCGATCAGCAGGACGCCCCGAAACCTTCGACCTCTGACACGGAAACGGGGCGCCGTCCCGCCACGTCTGCGATGGACTCGCCTGCTTTCCCTCCTACAGTGAAAATCCCTCGTCCTGATTTTCATGCCCTTATCTCCCAGCTCCCATGCGGGAGGGGAAGGCAGGGGAGCGGATTACCAGTCTGCTGAATCAGAAACAGGTGATGGATGAAGAAGCCACTGCGACTCCCTAATTTCAAGGAGGCAAGCAGGCGGCAGGGATAGGAGACTTTTGTGTGGGACGCTCACATCCTGTCTGTCAGAAAAGGGTTTTTCAGGTGTTGCTCAGTGTTGCCTCTGTCCCCTGCGTTTCTGTGCTGCCTTCACCAGGGTGGATATAGTTTAATATGGATTTTTCCCAATACTGCTTAGGACAGACATGGTATAATAACATGCTCTTAACAGCTAGACGGCAGATGGAAAAACAAAATTACAAAATTATTTCATTATACTCAGTTACTGAAAATATTAATAATCCAAGGCTTGTATGATTGCTTTAAGCCCTAATCACACCTGCCCTTTGATTTGGAAAGTTCTTTCCATAAAGCCGTGTGTTTAAGGTTAAAACCTTGCCAGAATATTTTTCCCTGCAGATTCTTGTGTAGATTATTTTCTCTTCCCAGTTCTTGTACAGAACCACTCTAGAGAGCTAAACCGAGAGCTTCTTCATTCACATCACCCACCTCCTACAGCTTTTTTTGTTTAGGAGCATCCTAAACCAAAAAAAAAATAAAGCTCACACATGATATTCCTAAACCACTCTTAAATAATAAAGATGAATCCAAAACGATGCTGCTTCTTACCTTTTATGAAGCAATACTATCGACATCATCCTCATTCTGTTTCCATTAGAGTTTTACTGCAAGAGAGCTGCAGATTTCTGCAGTTCTCTTGTTAACACAAGCGATCTCAGGATCAATAATCTACCCCTTCGTAAAGCTGTGAGCACCCTGCTGGTGCTCGACCAAGTGAAAACCTCAAGTGAAGGCCCTCAAAATACATCATACAAACAAGACCGGGGTTTGTCCAAGCCTAGGGTGAACGGAAGGGACTATAAATGTAACTTTCCCCCGTCCTGCCTAACAAGGGAACCCGACCTCTGCTTCAACCGCGGGACACGGAGGAGGAGCCCTGAGGAAACAGAGTGGACGAAGAGCCGAGAGGAGCAGGGGGATATGGGACGCGCTGACAGGCCACATATCAGATGGACGAGACCTCTTGGATCAGCGAGACACGAGCAACCAGGTGTGCCAGATGTGCAGAACGGCGGCCTCTTGGTCTCGAGCCTGTCCTGCGTTCTCAGGGGCTGATCCGCACACATACCTGTCTACTCTGGGCAGGAGGGCGCTCTGATACTTGGAACGCAGTCCGAGTGCTCGCAGCCCGGAGTCTAGTGGGGGGCCTGCAATTTAAAAGAAGTGAGGTGATTGGCTGTGTGAAGGAGTGAAACGGCCACTTCCAGCAGACCGGAGCGCCGATCGCCACTCCCAAAATCTCATTACATCTCACGCATCAAGACGGCAAGAGCAGTTTCTTTTAAAAAAAGATATTATTATCATTATTACAATTATTATTGATGAAAAGAAAAACAATAAGTTTACTTCCATGAGAAAAGTAGTGTTTCAGCAGAGATCAATAAGATAAATTGCTTTACTCCTGAACTGATGCTGAGTCTTATAAATGGCCCTCCAAAACCTCTAAAGATTCACATCTTCGAACGCACAGCAGAAATGCTGCCATCAGCTTGTGTGTTGAAGTGCTGGTATCTCGGGCTCCAGAGACGGATCGGCCTTAATAAAGCTCACAGTGTCTGTGCAGAGTAGCACAAAAACACTTAGATACCACCGCCAGCATGCCAACACTGGGACAGCCAAGTAGACACCCCCATTCCCCGTCAGGGAGCTTTTCCCCTCCACAGGCCGCTGTTCCCAACAGAAAAAAATAAAACTAGTCCAGAAGAAAACAGCAGAACTAGGATCTTCCGGCTCTGAAATGTTTATGAACATGTGCAACGTTATTACTATCCTCACGACAATAGTCCAGGTAGATCTATAAAGCAGTAAAGGTAACAAATCCCCCCCCTTCTCCTCTAATGAACAAACTGTTGGATTAATAGCGACGTACACTGGAGGAAAATGATAAATCTGCGTTAGGTGTTGTGCGCGGATGGTCAATACAGATAACCCATTACCCAGGGGCCACGATAATCGATTCGTCAATGCCTGCCCTATATCAGCAGCCGGCCCCCCCTGCCTCAGTCCTGCCATCAGACGCTTTCGTTAAGCGTGTCAGCGATAAGCGCCTCACGCCGGGCACATTCCTTGGATGGAGTATTGATGAGGGCAAGCCAGGAGCATTGACATGCTGGCAGGCCTGGAGAGATAACCTGGCATCCAATCCCGGCCAGCGGAGACTCGTTAGGATCCCTGGAGATGAATCTGGAAGAGTCCCCGCCAGACAGGCAGGTGGGGTCCCCCTGGGGAGGGAGACCGCAGGGCTGTCTCTGCACAGCACATTCGCCCCTTCCACCGGCACAAGAAGACCTTGTCTTTTCTAAATTCCGTAAAAGGTCACATTCTGTGGCTCAGTCTTGTGCAGCTTGATGGAACGAAAGCTATTCTGCAAATAATTCTGCAGCATGCTTCTGGGGAAAGCTCTACAGATTTCTACTTGTTTTCCCATTAGCGCACAGCTAGCACTGCTAACAGGGACTTTGGCAGCCAAAGAATATTTTTTTTTATTCCATCCAGAGTAGTGGAATCTTATCTCTGAATTATTTCTTCAGTGCTTTATCTTGAGTTTTTTTTCCTCACTTGGCCACTCAAGTCGAGATTGACTTATCTTATCTCGCTAACCCTGATCACATCCTGCGCCCTGCACACCTTTCAGGAATAAAAGCCAGGGCATGTTCTTTTAGGAACACAGCAATTTCGCATTTAGAGATTTAGTACGAGCACATTCAGGACAGTTAGTTTATTTTTACTTTAGTAAATATCAATAAACAAATGAAAAAACAAAACAAAATGTTTAATGGCTTAAAAATGAATGTATAATATATTGCTTTCCTGCTTTGTCAGGAAAATCTGAGCTCTTGCCTGCAGCTCATAAAACCTGAAATGGATCAGTCTGCTCTGGCAGCAGGAGGCCAGTCTGTTCCTGTAGAACACTACTGAACGAAGAGCACGGGTGACAGTGCTGCACATTACAGATTCCAGCTCGAGTATTTTAAAATGCTCCCTTTACTGTACATTTCATGATGCAGTTCAAGTCAGGAGCTGCGTCAGCATGCGTAGGCTGTAAAGGAACAAGTAAAGGTTTATTCCCTGCTGAAAATAATTGTGTTTCCTTTCCTTTCTTCTCTTTTCAGCATGGAACAAACCTTTACTTGATCCTTTGCATTTTATGATGCTGCTGCCTCCAGTAACAGCACTAACACACCATGTCTGTTGAATGCCCATGCATGCTAAACTAGTAATTCAGGCTACTTTTGTTAGCTTTGTGCAAGAGGTGTGTGTCTCAATCACACTTTCGCTTTCCATGCCCCAGTCGTGCAGCATATTCCCAGTCCCGGGACGCACGCCTGCCACAGAACATCTCCAGCCCTTTCCAAAGGCCTTCGCCTCCGCGGTAACACGCTGCCGGGACACGGCGGCCTGGCGTGCAGAGAGCCACAGCCCTCCGATCCGGAACTTCACTGGTCCCCCACATCCGATCAGCGCTACGTCCCTGTCGGCTACACGGCCCACAGCTCTGTCCCGCCTGCCGGAATGTCAAGCCGAGGCGGGAGCGTTTGCTGGAGAAAAGAAGAGCGCGCTCTTCTCTTGCCATTAACTAAGTGGCTGCTGCTGTGTGCGAGCGTAGACTGCGGGGTAGAACTCGGCTTTTATTATTATTAATTTATTTGGCAGATGCTTTTATCCAAAGTGACGCACATCGGGATCCATTTATGCAGCTGGGCATTATACCGGAGCAATCCGGGGGTAGGCACTCTGCTCAGGAGCACAACAGCCTTTCCTCCAGGGTGTGCCCACCTGGGATCTGGACCCACAGTCCTCCAGCTGCAAGCCCAGGGCTCCAGCCACCTCGCCACACCGCTGCCGTGCCTGGGATGTGCAATGAGCTGGACCACAAAGACTTTTCACATTCGTCTTTGTATTTCAGGCGCAGGCAGCAGAAGAATCTCTGGACTGATAGAGAGCGACAACAGAGAAGCCTGGTTCCAATAATTAATGTTAACAAAGAATACAGAAACTAATTAAATACTGTAATTGAGAAATCAGGGGACAGCAATATAGCGTGATCAGTTTCACACTTTAACCATTGCTATAACCCTTGTAAGATGACTGAGCTAAATAGAAGCTTGTTCTTCAATTCTAAGGATTGCACTGCTTAGATTAAAAACATGGGGGAAAATGCAAAAGATGCATATATATACTCTCTATACATCAGAGCAACACAGCAATATCTCTATCTTTAGTCTTCACAAACCAAGCTGAAAATGGTTCTCGGATACCGAACGATAAACGCGCCGGCTGGCGGGTGGGGGGCTGATCGATGGCGTGGTGAGTCACTCTTCTTTAGAATTGGGACCTTAGCTTTTAATAAATCATATTCACAGTGGATGAACAGCGAGTACGGCTGCACTCCGCAGTAAAACAAACAGCTGAAGCACGCACACAAACACAGGGTCGATGCCAAAGAGCAAAACCTTTCCGCACCATCCCAGGCAAGCACAGCTTTTCCATCTGCGCAGAAGACGGAGGCAGAACGAACAAGGTGACACAACCACCCCCGAGGAAGGGCAGACATGACGCGGGGGGACGTGGACCCCAGTCACAGGAGCCCCTCGCTTCTTGAAATGCTACGCGCACACATGGAATCAGGAAACTCCCGGCATGCTCTCGAAACCACAGCATGAATCCAAGGGAGTTCATCAGCTTTGATATCCTGAATTCTGTACTGACTGTTCCAGCACCAAGCTACAGCTCTCTCCATCCCCGCTGTGATGTCCTGTCTACCTGACGGCAACAAGCAGCCAGCACAAGCAGCGCAGCCTAAAGAAACAGGGGTTAGAGGGCTGCTTCGCATCAACATTACAGGGCCACTGACCCCTGGCCATGCACACTGTCCAGTTTGACCTTCAGATCCCTGGTTTCGCCCCTGGCAACAGCGAGAGCACGTCAGAGTGGTGCATCTGAGTGTCTGTGGGCCGACGTGCTTTGCCGATCTCTTACCAACAAGAGGCACTGGGCTCCACCAGCAGGGGGCAGTAGTGCCCCTGTGGCTCTTGCACACGTGACTGCAACATTCTGACCCATCTTGACACAAGAGGAACCGCTGGATTGCAAAACCCAGAGCTGCAGAAGGCAGTGAGCCCAGCCTGCATGCTCTGTGATCCCACCTCCACTCCTCCAGCCAAGTTTCCCTGTACAGGAGTCACACTGCTGGCCCTCCCATGCGGAGGACACGAGGCAGAGTCGCAGTTTCATCAGAGAGATGCTGTTTCACCAAGAAAGAAACCTAAAGCTTTTTTTTTTATTTTAAAGCTGGTGTGTGTTATGGATTTAAAGTGCTACTGAAATAGCAGACTTCAGACCTCCAGAGCATAATAGACATAAATAAGATTAAAAGCATTCAGCTTATAATAGCAATACCTGTAATGTTACATCTAGTGTGCCATTGGATGATATTTTAAACAGCATTATTTTATTGTGCAGCTTTCAAAAGTGAAGCCATTACTTAAGTGGTATTATCAGTATGTCAACTTTTCCTATTACGGTTATTCATTCATTATTATTGCCAGGCTCACGCAGTCAGGGCTGGAAAAAAAACTGCATTTAAAATAGTCTAATTGTACCTCATTATATAAACTGACAGATGTAAAGGGAGCAATTGAGAAAGAAAGCACAAGAAGAGGAAGAGAGAAAACAAATGACAACTGTAGTGTCTTTTCCTTACCAGACACAGGGATGAGAATTTCAGCAGGAGGAATGTATTCACCTCCAAGCTACACATGGCTTTTTGTTAAGAAAGCTTTCCATATAATGACAACACACTGTACAGCCATCTCACACTTTGTCTATAAGAAACGCAGTTCCTAAATCCAATTACTGCACCGGAGAGTGAAGACTGTGGCTAGCTGAGGCTCTGAAACTCTCTTCACACAGAAGGCTGCCTCTGATCAAAGGGAAAGGCCAATCTTGCTTTACAGCCCCAGCACTGCATTCACTGAGCCTGAAATCTAAATGGTTGAGCTCGGAGCGAAAATTAAGCCTGTGTCTTTTTTTCTTACTGCTGAAATTCCATCCCTGGCTGTTTAATACATCTTCCATAAGCCACTACTCCACCGAACCCTCTGATTAAAACATTTTACCATAAAAGAAATCCATACAGTGAAAAGGG